GTCAGGGTGTGCAATCATTGACATTTTATCTAACTCATTATTATCAGATGTTTCTGGATTAGTAAATATGTCTTGTATTATGCGGTTAGCGTTTGGATCGTCTGTCACGTTCTGTATAGCGTTATCAATTTCTTGAGAAATTAAATCGTCAAGTTCTTTTGTGTGAATTTCTATTCGAGATAAAGCGTCGGCGTTGGTATTTAGTTTCCCTTTTTTGTATATTATTTTATAATCATATTCGTCAAGTTTAATGCGCCAACGAAGTAATTTTGAATTTGGGTCTTTAAGCGAAAATAACCATTCTAATGGTTTATGGTCACAAATGACCGAAAATTTCCTACCATACAGGTACGGCCTGAAATATTTTGTGGCCCACACAATAGCTAAAAGCTCTTTTTCGATGGTAGAATAATTTTGTTCCGAATTGTTTAAAGTCCGGGACGCATATGCTACGGGTAGGTCATGTCCAATGGGTCCTTGTGATAGAACGGCGCCAAGTGCAACGTTACTGGCGTCGGTTGTCAAATTAAAGGGCTTCGAAAAGTCCGGATACTGTAATATGGGGTCATTAGTCAAAATACTTTTGCACGATTCGAAACATGATTTAAATTCGTCGTTATGTTCTATAGTTGCACCTTTTTTTAAACATTTTGTCAAGGGTTTTGTCAGTTTAGAAAAATTGTTAATGAAACGTCGGTAATATCCTAAAAGTCCCAAAAAACCTTTTATTTGTTTTGTGGTTTTTGGTATGGGGTAGTTTTTTATCGCCTTTATCTTGTCTGGGTTAGGTTTAACACCTGCTGGAGTCACTATATGACCCAAATAAGCTACTTCCTTTCGTAAAAACTCAGATTTATCCAACTGTACTTTAAAGTTGGCTTCTCTTAAACGATCAAACACACTTTTAAGCCTCTCAAGGTGCTCTTGGAGCGATGTTGAGAAAACAATGATATCATCAAGGTATACAAGACACTTTTCGTTTTGTATGCCCCTGAGGATTCCGTCCATTGCTCTTTGAAATGTCGCTGGGGCATTTTTAAGGCCAAATGGCATCCTTAAATACTCCCAGTGTCCATTTTCAGTGCTAAATGCTGTTTTTTCTATATCTTTTTCCGTCATTTCCAATTGATGGAACCTTGACGCTAAGTCTAGCGTCGAAAAATATTGACACTTACCCAATTTGTCCAACAAATCTGTAATGTTAGGCAAAGGGTACTTGTCATCGATTGTTTTTTCGTTGAGACGTCTATAATCTACAACGATACGAAATTTAGCTTTACCAGATGCATCAGATTTTTTTGGAATTACCCAAAGTGGGGCGTTCCAGGCGCTTGAGCTTGGGCGAATTATTTTATGGTCTAACATTTTATTAATTTGATTTTCAACTTCTTGTTTATATATATACGGATAGCGATATGTTTTAGCATAAACTGGAACTTCGTCTGTTGTACGAATTTCGTGTTTAACTTTATTAGTGAAGGTCAGTGGCGTGTCTTCCCTATAAAAAATATCAGAATATTCTGAACAGAGTTTTAATATTTTATTTTTTTCTTCGTCATTTAAATGATCGGTTCGAATTTTATTAAAATCTAAATTAGTAGAAAAAGTATCGTCGAAGTTATTAAGTTCAAATTTCTCTATCGGAACTTTATCGAATTTTTCAACAATAATTGGTTCTGATAGATCTAATGTTACCGGGTTTGTACTAATATTAAGAACTGTTGTAATGGCTTCACCATTTTTTGCAATAGATAAAGATTGGGGTATTTCACAATTAGGAAATTTTTGATACGGTATAACAATTTCACCATTTTTAATACTAGTTTTTATTTTTATAACTTGTTCAGAGCGAGGCGTTACTGTTATTAAATTAAGATCACCTTTAATTCGGTAATATTTTAATTCTATTCTAGCGTAAGGTGTAACTAAATATCCATTAGAAAAATCTACTATTGCTTCTAATAATTTTAAGTTGTCTAAACCAATTAAACCATTAAATATGTTATGGAATTTAAAAAGATAAAATTTTAAATTTAAATTATTTGGTAAGTTAAAAATATTTGAAGCGGGAATTAAAGTACTATATTTATGAGTTGATTCTTGGAAAACTGATTTAACAACAAATGGATCATTTTGTATAGTTTTGGAAAAATATTTATAAGCAATTTCAGGATCTATAAAAGATTTAGTAGAGCCTGAATCGATTAAAATTTTTAGATTATGTTCAGGAAATACAACATAACATAATTCACTTGAGCTATTTAAATTTAAGGATATAAGTTTTGGCGTTACCTTTCTTGCTGATTTTGAGGCGTTAATTGAAAATTTTATTTCGTCGTTTTCGACAGATACACCTTTAAAATTATTTTCGGAAAAATCACCTTGTGAACAGTTGTTTCCGGGAAATTGGTTTTCTTCAAACGGTAAATAATTTTGTTCGTCAACTTCAGCATTGAATAATTCATCCGAATTAAATTTATTTTGAGGATAAGAATTATTTTGAAAATAGTTTCTGGATGAATTTGGTGCAAAATTACGCGTTGAGACACTCATAGGTGTTGTTTTATAGTTACTACTTGTATTTCTAGTAGAAACACTCATGGGCGTTGGATTTGGTAAATTTACGTTTCTATTAGGTTTAAAAACATTTTGATTTTGCTGAGGTTTTCCAAAAACTTGTGCGTTAGTGAAAAATCTTTGCGGTTGCCTTGGTTGTTGGGATTGAATTGGGACAGGTTGCGACGGAAAAGCAATTTGTCTGTTGGAAAAGTTATTCGACGTATTTGAATTAAAAGATGCTAAATTAGGGTTAAAATTTTGTCTTTGAATTTGTGGTGAAACAGATGGTCTATTTTGTTGAATTCGTACATTATTTAAATTATTTTTATTGCCGAAATTTTGGTAATAATGAACATTGTCTTCTTTTAGAACATATTGCAAAGCTTCACTTAATGAAGTAGGTTTCATACATCTAATTGTTGTCCCTAAAGGTTCCCTTAAACCAGTTAAAAAGGTATTTAAAGCTAAATCGTTATATAAATCGCGTTTTAATGCTTTAGATGCAAGGATGTGTTCGTGAACATCAACATAACTGCACAAAAGATTTAGGATGTTTAAAACTCTATCATAAAATTGTTGTGGTTTTTCAGTAGCTCCTTGTTTCATCATAACAAGATCCCTATTTAAACAAGATTCATCTCTCTGATCTGCAAAGTTTCTAGTTAATACTGATTTTAAATCGTTCCAAGTTGAAACATTTTGTATATTTACTACTAATTTGGCATTGCCACTTAATTTTGAAATTAAACAATTTAACAGATAAACATTTTGAAAACAATTTGGCTGAGCAATATTATAAAAATTATCAATCAAAGATGAGCATACGGATAAATATCTATTTAATTCATTCGGGTTACCGTCAAAGTTGGGTACACAAGTTAAGTATTCTGGTTTAAAATCAGGCATTATTATTTCTAAATTATTTTCGAGATTCGAGTCAGTTGAAGGGTCTAAATATAAATTAGAAAGAATATTTGACAAATCGTCAATTACGGACATGTGAAATGTACTTATAATAAAAATATAACTTTGAGCATCCCTCTATAGAAATAAATCCAGGTCAGCAATTTTTGTCGTTCCCAGAAAATATCTCTGCAGAATTGAACTATTTGGGTTTCAATTCTCTCTTCCGCTTTGGATCCACTATTCTTGTCGGGTCTGCGATAGACTGGGTTTCCTGAAGTTCAAGGAGCCACTCCGGAACAATGTCACAAACGAAAGTCACTTAAGTTCGATATACGGTAAATCGTAGAAACGAAAATCGATATGTTCGATACAAATCAATCCCAATATCCTACTGACTGCGCCAATTAACTCCTACTAACTCAAAGTTCGTTTTTTAAAAAAATACTTTTATTACTTAATACAACAATTATACTTTTTATTACAACTTAACAATATGGAATCTAGCAACTGACTGACTACTCTAAAAGAAAATAAAAACGTCTAACAATAAAAAATGCAAAATAAGATAAAAATGAATATATCAGAACAAAGAGTTTTACAATGTCAGCATTCTTCCATAAGGGCCATGTATAGGAGTCGACATAATTCATGCATGTACCATGATTCTTTATATTTCTTACAAAAGTTCACAAAAATAGTATTTTATAAATGAATAAATCAATAAGTCACACAGAAACTGTCAGAAATACAAAATAGCTGTTAGACTTGTTTGGCAACGTTGCGGCTGGTTACAGTAACTATATTTCATTCATAAAAGTTGTTAATTCGTAAAATAAGATATTCAGCGTTGCTGTATTTACGGAGTTTTTTTGCAACCGTAGTATTTTGTTTAGATTAATATTGATTTTTAATAAAAAAAAATTTAGCTTATATAAAAACTTTAAAGAATAAGTTGATTAAAAACATATTTTTATTTATATAATATAAAATTATAGTTATAGGATACATCAAGTTTTATTTTTCGATAGTAATTTCTCCAAATAATTTTTACAGGCTGATAAAACCGACAAAGACGCAATAAACGAGAATCTGGTGGGAATAATGATTCGCCACATAAAAATGTAAACAATTTAGTCTCTTAGTTGTAATGTCTTTGGTTTTATGATAGACGTTAAACGCTAATGAGACTAATGAGATAAGAGAATCTGCTTGCTCTAAGTACAGACTAGCTGGCTAAGAAGTATATAAAACAAATAATTAAAATACATTAAATAACATACAATATCTTAAAATAAATAAATCTTAAAAAAAATAAAAAGTAATAAAAAAATAAAAATAAGAATACCATTACAATATATATAGAAAAACATTTCAAGTAAGATGTATGTATTTAGTTTTTCCTGTAAACTTTTATAGTGGTGATACAATAAAATGTACAAAATAACCGGAAAAAGCCTGTAATAACTAGAGAGGAGAGTCATGTGCTGGACCCATTATAGGTGCATTCAATAAATCATTTAATAAAAATAGTAATACTTTTTTAATAACATTTTATTTAATTTAAACTTTGTAAAATACATGAAGTTATACAGTATCACTTCTGATAGAGTTCTGTTTTGTTTTATTGGACCTAACTAGCAACCTAATATCATTTATGTAGTTTTCTCGTTCTCGGTAAACTAGTTCCATCATATATTCAGATTCTCTTCTCACTTCTACAAAAAAAAATACAGTTTTCAAGTATTGAAAGTAACAATATAAAGAATAAAAAATATAAATAAAAAAATTTAGAACGACTATCTAAAAGAACCTAATTTTAACATTTCTTATTTTATTATTATTTTGTCTTTCTACTTTCATTAAAGACAGAATAGTCCAGAGTACCTTATGACTATGGAATGAGTATAATAAAGTACTTATAGATTGCCGATAGTGTCACGAAATTATTGATAAAATTTAAAGATTTACCATCAAACCACTCATTCAACTTGATAAGTTTGGTGTTCTCTTCCGCATGAAACTTATATCTATGTTTTTCAGCCATCTTTACATTGATCAAATCTTGGTTATGTCTAAATAAAATGTGATAAAATCCTGTCCAAGTTTCGGGCAACGATAGGCTTCTCCTAAAAATGAAAAATAAAACACTATAAAACATTCAATAGTAAAATCGGTCTATAAAGCTGAAACTTAAGAGCTGCACAATGTATCTTTGTCAGTTATAAGCAGGTAGGGTTAGGTTTGGCCCAAATCACTGCGGCCTCTTGGGTCTATTACATTACCCTGCTTTCCCCGTATTAAGCTACTGTCTTTGGAATAGTCTTGTTCCTTTGGTTAGTTTAATAAGTTCCCTACCAAGTATTCCCTGAGCGTTCTTTCAAATTGTAATACCCATAAAAATATTTCACTTTGCGTATTAAAAAAAATATATATATTTTGAATGACTTGTTTGTTTGAAAAGAACAAAAAATGAGTAGGCATATCTGTGGCTTGATCCTAAAATCCGCCAATATTCATTTTTTATATTTTGAGACTTGGATGTTTCAATAAAGATAAAGACGCACTTTCATTTAAGTTATTTTAACTTTAAAAATATCTTATTTACGTACATGATTACCCTATATGATTTTTCTATGTTGAAAATATCACAGTTTTTACCTGACTGAACTTTTCCTTGGATGTCCCTCTTCAATACATGTATAATGGAATGGAGTCAAGTCAAACGGCGGTAAAATGTTTCGAAGAAAAATTTCATGATCTAACGATCTTATTTCGGTGTCTAGACATACGTTTGGATTCGGTATTAAATGTTCTTCAATAAACATATTTCTAAAAAGGATAGTCATTATATACCACAATACCCTTATGTTCCATTACATCAAGGGCAGCTCCAGACCACATTTTTTATAATAAATTAGCCTATTATTAAAAAAAATAAGCTAAAAAGGGAATTGTTATTACCAATGCCCCCCTCCCTCCCACCCCGAAAATTTGACCTGGGGCCACCCTTGCATTACATATGAATATAAATATATACAGAAGAAAACTTATTATAAAATAATGCTCTCTTATACGGAGTCCCTGTTGTTTCATTGGGACAATGTTGCTATTTCTTGAATAGCGACAGACAGAAAGTTGGTTAAATTAGACAAAAGTTTTGTGCTTACTAAAATTTGGCACCATTTTAGTAAGCACAAAACCTTTGATATCTACTGGAAGATTTAAAATATCGAACCAAAAATGGAAATTGTCATTTTTTAAATTTATTTAAGTTACTGGTTTCAGACGGAAATTAAATACAAAATGATATACATATTCATTTTAAATAATGAATTTTCGGTGAAATTATAAATAAACTGACTAGAAGTGGTGTACACACTACTAGTAAGATGCAAGTAAAAAGAACACGTCAGAGTGTATACATTCAAAAACACCACTGCGATTGCCCAATCGTAAAATAGACAATTCAACACACATATGTGTCGTAAAAGGCGAATTAGGTGTATTTACTTTATTTTGTTGCCTAGTATGGATATAGGTAATAATTTGCCTTTACTACAACTTTCTCACTTTTCTTAAACTCTTTCTTTCCTCCTTCCTTTCTAATTTACCCTTCTTTCTTCGATTAGGCGCCATGTACGGGACCTGAGATGTTCTGCGGTATCAGCAGTAACATAATATTAGGAGAAATTAAAAAAGAGTTGGGCAGTAGAAGAACCGATTATTGGAATAATCTCTTGGGGCTAAGACAGGCTATGATACTTTTGGGTAAATATAACCAGAAAAGATCGGAAGCCTGCATTTGTCTGAGCAAGAATAGGTTATGTATTCGAACAGGAATCCTTACTGGGCATTGTCGACTAAAAGAACACCTTAGTAAACTGATAGTATAAGAAGATAGTGAGGAGGAGGACGAAACCTACATTCACATTTAAATTGAATGTGTAGCACTCCAGAATCCAAGGGCACTACACCTAGGAGCCTATCAAATAGAAGAGGGAGATTTACCTAACTTGAAGCCATACTAAAAAGTACACTTCCTTGAGAAGATAGGATTGGAAAGGTCGTTATTGGTCTTAAGACACATCCTTGCTGCATTAGCGACAGAAGGGGGAATAATAGATCTTTTGGTTTGCAGTGTTTTAATACCCCATTCCCAACATAACATAAACGGGTCATGACCTAGTCACGTCTTTCAGTTCTCTGGCTTAGTATGGATCTAGAGTCATTGCCCTTTATTCTTCTTTCCAAATTCCGTTGCACAATAGTTTCCTAAAACCAAATGTACCTCTGTATAGTTCATATCCTAGTATATATCTTTTCCTCTTCTTTTATTATTTATAATAATATATTTTTGTTTCTTGATGATAAGTTTAGTCTAACTCGGTTGATCTCAGAACCACTCTCGATCGCTTTAACCTGCTTGTCAGTGTCCTGTATCCGTCTGTCGTCTTATGTCTACTGTCAAATGTCAAAATAGGTATGCTTCGTACCTGTTGAATAAATAATTCTCTTAGATGGTTTTAAGTGGGTTTGGTTTCTTTACCGACACAATTACTTTGTATTTGTTGTCTTAACAAATTAATATATTATTATATTTTTTTATTGATTTTATGTGGTAACTTAGACGTAAGTTTTTAACATGTACTAATATTTAAATTGTCAATGTAATGTCCATTTTATTATTCAGTCATGCTCTAATCCTCCAAGTCCCTCTCTGTCTTATTTGGCCTTTGAGGCTCAACTTTTTCGATTATCAGAGCAGCTTTCGATGACTATTCGAGAAAAAACGGGATAATGTTTCCAGTGTATTCTAAATATAACAGGATGTCTCTAGTATTGGTGAGAATTGGTGAGAATTCTGCTTGTTGGAAAATGATTCATTGATGTGTGTTTCTAGGTCGACTAGATTATCAGTAGTAGATCTACAGAGACGACACTTTGCTTGTTTTAAGATTGGTACAACAATAGCTGCCTTCCATAATTTGGGAAACGTTTGTTGTATCCATGTGGAATTGTGGAAGTTTAACAAATGATGTATGCCCTCCATTGGTAAATTTTTCAAAAATGCTGCAGAAATGTCATCGGGGCCTGGTGACGAATCTTTTATTAGAAGGAGAGCGTCTGTTAATTTAGCAATGGTGATTGGTAGATTGATTGGATCATTATTATTTATTATTTGTATCGGTTTTGTGTATTTTTCTGTTATTTTGTTTTATAAGCTGGCAAGTTTTTCTGCGATTAGTGCTGGATCTGTGATAGTGTTACCTTGTACGTTTAGTTTTCTGATACTATAATAGCGTTTTGTATTAGACATTTTTCTAATTTTTTTCCAAACAAGAGATAACGGCGTATTGTGGTTAAGGCTTTCCACGTACTTAGACCAAGATTCTTTTTGGCTTTGTTGGTTACAAGTTTAGCATGTGCTCTTTGCTTTTTTAGGTTTATCAAGTTTTCTGTAGTCTTGTTGCGTTTGTATAACGCAAGGGCTTTTTTACTTTATTTTATGGCTTGGCTATATCTATCATTCCACCAAGGCACCACTTTATTTCTCTCAACGATACTGCATTTTCCAAAAGATTTTAGCTCAGATTCTATTATGAAATTATTGGACTGTATTAGTGATTCATCTACGTTATTTGATGAATGCATTTTTGTTAGACCTTTTTTAAATAAGTCTTAAAACATTTCCCAGTTGGCAAGATGTAGTTTCCATTTGGATACGGGCATAAAAGTTTCTTCCTTGTAGTTGGAATTGGTAATTAGAATTGTAAAATGATCGCTTCCGTGTGAATTATCAAGAACTCTTCAGTGATGATCAAGCAAAATTAACAGCGTGCATAGTGATAAATTTCCTAAATTGGCATTAAAATGGGTGGGAGATCCATCGTTTAGAAGTTCCAGGTTTTGGTTCCGAATTATATTAGCAATTTTTTTACCTGTTGGAGTGGTTTTGTGAGAGCCCCAGAATATGTTGTGCCCATTCAAGTCACCCAGAATAATTTTAAGATTGGGTATCTCATTGATTAGATCTTGGAGTTCAATTTCATCGACTGCACAATCTGGGGGATTATATATGCTGCACATATATATTTTCTGAGATGAGCCTAATTCAATAGCGATCGCTTCGAAACTAGTATTTAAATGAAATTCTTTCACTGTGAGATGATGTTTTGAATAAATACATACACCACCAGACAAATGGTTGGTATTGCTGCTAAATGTAAGATTTAAGGTCATAAATATAAGAGTCTTTAAAGTTAGTTTTTTGGTGACATGTAATGTCTGGTGAATATTGATTTATAAGCAGTTGGAACATGAGAAGGTGGGTTCGGAGACCATTAAAGTTTTATTGTAAAATTAAATTGTACATTGAAAATATTTATTTTAAGTTTAGGGCTTGGAGTAAGCAATTGAAAGACGGTGGTTAGCAAAGTGATGAGTCACTTGCAGTTATGCCAGATTCGATTTGCTTGGCGAGTTTTCATTATATTCTAGTACAACGTCCTTTAGCTTCTTTTTTTCTATATGAGGATGAATTACTTCTAGGATGGTAAAAATGCTCGATGGGTCTATCTAGTCTAAGATCCGAAGTAAGGTCGACCTTCACCCATCTGTTTAATGGATAAAAGTTTATTTTTATTAAATAAAATATGTTTATAAATATACCGCAAATGGGTTGTCTAAGAAAATACGGTCCAGACTATTTATTTTCTTGAAGTAAAAAAAAACGACACACTGTAAACTATTCCCCAGAAACTTCTACTATGCGCAAACTTTAATTAGCTCACCGCAAGATGGACTAAAGCTTAAGTTAAAAATTTGGTGTTTTTCTCTTCATCCGTTTTTGAGTTGTCTTCAATATTCAAAATTTGCACTTTTTCTCAAATATCTCAAATTAGGTCCATTTTAGGCAAATTATGTATGGAAACAAAATAATAGAGAATGACATCATAAGCAACTTTTATCATGATTCGCATACTTTCCTTATCTTTACACAGAAAGAAAAGTAAAAAATGGCTGTGACCGGATTTTCTTAGGCAACCCATTTGCGGTATATTTAAAAACATGTTCTATTTAATAAAAAAAAAAACTTTTATCCATTAAACAGATGGGTGAAGGTCGACCTTACTTACGGATCCTGGACTAATCGTATAATCTTTGGCTGTGGTCAAAACATATCTACTTCCATGTGTTTCTTCCAGAAGTTGTTCTAGTTGCTGACTGTTTAAAGAGAAAGCTGGGTTATGATTGTCAATTAAATTCTTAACCGTATTTGAGAATTGCACATAATTATCTAGGTTTTTCTTTCTTCATTTTTATTTCTTGGCTAGCAAGCTTTAAGGTTTGACAAAGCTACTTGAGTTATTAGAATCGGTTGGAGACAATATTTCTGATACTGGACACTTCGTAGATTGATTTTCGGGTATTATTATATTTGGAGCATTGTGAATTGTGTAGGTTGATGGTGCCTCTTGAGATACTGGTGAGATTGTGTCTGTTGTTGGCGTGATTGGTATAACTGATTGTGACGGAAAGTCGAAATCAGATGCCGACGATATATTTTTGACTGGAGTGACAAGGGATTGTTGATGTTGAACTGGCCGCTTTAGCGAGGTTGGTAGTTGCTGATGAGGTGGGGGGTGTATGATATCTTGGGTTGACGGATGATTATTGATAATTTGAGTAGTTTGCGGTGGTTGAGGTAATATTGGTTGAGAAGTTATAGAGGCGTTGTGGCCAGGTTGTTTGCAATTTACGCAGGTATGGTTAATCTTTGGATAGAAATATTCTGTACGATACTTCGTATTCGTTCACTCCTATGAAGT